AGAAAATTAAAAAATAAATGCATATTACATTAAAATACTGAGTATTTTTTGTATCATGTGGAATTTTTTTTGATTGACTGTAATTTTCAACATTTCGTAACGCCTATTTTAGAACCAAAATAAGGCCTTTCACTCTTCCCCGACGCCTATTCAAGAGATTGTACGGTGTATTGTTTTTGTGCATGTGTTGTGGACAAAAAATGACCACGCCCATTTAGTGATTGCAATATGTACGTAATAGAAACCGCACCCCGAACTTGAGCTTTTGATCCCAATTTTTAAATTGATACATTGTAATATAAACCGCGGTTTATAATAGGACTTTAACGGTACAGTAGATAATATTTGGTAATCGTAGTCCTGAGTAACTATTAAAAATAGCTAGACGTTTCGAGCAATGGTTTTTCACTTCTATGCTATTGATAAAGAGCCATTGCTCGAAACAAACCAAATATTATCTACTGTATATCATATTTTATTTTAGGTCGGTGTAGAATGTCCACCAACAAATGCTCAGTGATTTTCCGAATGAAAATGACCAGGTTTTGTTAACCCAAAAGATTCATAGTGGGTTTGTGATATATAGTAGCCATATAAATGAGGAAAAATATTTGATATTGTTGATTCAAACACAAACTTTTCATGGTTGACCATCCATGTGTTAGGCCTATAATCATCTCTTGTACATCAAACCCATCCCACCACCATCTCCTCTGTACTTAAGGGGTTAGCATACGTTTAATGTGTTTTTTTTCAATATTTTTTTTTTATTTTAAATTATTGATGGTTATGACAGTATCTATGACTGTGCTTTTATTCTAAACAAAAACTCCACTTTATAAGGCTTATTTCGACGTTTTTTCTATTTCAAAACATTGCCACGTGTGATTGTTTATAAACACCACCAACACAAGCACAACACTCGCTTGAAACTAATCCTAATTGACACTTGATGAAAGATCCGATTTGCATATCAATACTACAAAGTTTATGTAATCACGGTACTCATTTCGCCCAGCCTTCCGCTTTTACACCCACAGCTTATTGCTTGATTTCCGACCATGCGGTCTTGTCCGACCGGAAACCGACAGCATTTTAATCGCTCTTTTTTTCGCTCGCTCGCTCGCTCATTGAAAACATTGACTGCTCGTCAAAACACTGATCACACATGAGTAGTCGAAATGGTGGTTTTTCAAATCTAATAGTTGCATGACACTCAATCGTCAAAGCAACTTAAAGTACCTGTGAAATGGCTGCTATTTTCACACCTAAAATTATCCATTGTTACATAAATATTATTAATTTTTATGTTTCTAAGCATGAATTATTTTTTTAATTGAAAAAAATGTGTTTTAAACTCCTTCTACGGTAACTTTATTTTTGTGTATTTTAAAACGAGGCTCCTCATTAGCTTCTTATTTGCATACTGAAATTCCCCTTGTGACGTCAGAAGGGGAAGTCGCATGGCAGCTTGCATTGCCGATACGTGTAAATAAGGCAAATTTCTTGTGCAGTTTTTTCGTCTTTGACTAAATTTTCATTTATGTACTTGTTCGTCGAGGAGAAATGGACCATAATGAACACATAGTATAAATTTGTGTTGCATGGGGTTGAGTTAGATGCGAAATATGTCGGTTCTTGTGTAGCTGGTCACCGTGATCGTCACCGGCGCACGTTTGTACACTGTCGCTGGACAAAATAGGTTACTAGGCACGTCACTACACTGTTTTATTTCATCGATCGTCTGAGTAAAACTTTCAAAATTAAAATAAAAGAGAACATATTTTGACATTCTAAACATTAGACTATAGTGATCACTATAAAATAATTAAAATGATGACAAATCACAGTTACTAAATAAATGAAAGCCGCGTGGAAATAAATTGAAATTTTGTTGAAATAGGTGAACGCGTCGGGTTAAAAGCGGCGTTTAATTGGATAACAAAAATAATCGAGATCGACACACTTACAGATAAATTCAGAGTGGATTCGAGTTAGCGTGATCCATGGCGAGATTGTCATACTTATAACATCATATTAAAACTTTATTTAGTGGAAACACATTGACCAAGCCCGGATTCTAATATTTCATAAATTATTACGCAGATCAAGCTGCAAGCATGGAGGTAAAAAAAGAACAGAGGTGTGAATTCGACATTCAACACCAATCACCAAACAATTCAGAAACTTTTAGCCTTCGAAAATGAAAACAATTAGCAGCGTGTAAGGGCTGTGTAATTACCTGTTTGTCCGACGCTTCGTTTTTGTGTTACTGTCAAAATTATTGCTACTCTTTACTTAACAGGGACTAAATGGTCTCTATAAAACGATAATCAGGATCGCAAAAAAAGTCAACTCATTTGAAACACTTGCCGTCTCTCTCTCTCTTCTGAAATTCGCCTTGGTGATCATGGTCCGGAATCTATTTCTTCAAAAGTGTTGCGCCATGTTTATGTTGTCGGCGTTTCTCTTTAAACCCAGTTGTTTTTTTCATGGACAAGGACAGTTTTTCCAAAAAAAAAAAGAAGCTGTGTTTAAGTGGCTTTCGTTCACTGATGTCGCACTTTCGGATCGATTATAAACGTGTGAATACTACACTATGATTATACGTTTCACTGCAACTGCCCATAACACAACATCTAAAAACTCTCTCTCAAAAAAAAAAAAAAAAAATAGACAAAAAAAAAAGAAAAAAACGCCGACCGAAAAATGTATATCGTTTAAAAGTATACTGAATGATCAGTGTTATTACGGCTCAAGGTTATGACTTCCTCTCACATTTTGGCATTTGGTGGCTCACTTTCGGCGAGAGTCGGAAATCCGGAAACAGTCGACCGTTTCAGGATAGGTGGGCGTGGCTACAACACGAGAAATATCCCAAATTTACTTGGATACGAGTAATCATTTTCAGCAAAAAAATCAATAACTGCTCATTTCAGTGGGACACAGATCTAAAATGGGAAACGTGAGGGTGGGCATTGCACAGGCACTTTAACTGGGACCTCTTGTTACGTGTTTTGAGTGCTTGTTCTAAATGTAATATTTTATTTTAATGAGACAGTTACGTGAAAAGGGCATAGGTAACTTCTTTCGACAGAGCAGAGAAGTGAGGAAAATGTTAATGATTAATTCCAAAAATAACGATACCAAAACCATGTCGGTCCACAGGCTGGTATAATTTGACATTCAATTTTCAAAATTAAGTCACGATCAGTAAAAGTGTTCCCACAAAAAATATTTTGACTAAAATGGCCACATGCTCTGAAAAATATTTGGTGGCCAGAAGATGAACAATTCGAAAATCAGGATTCATGCGGAAGTCTTTCAGGGCTGAAAATCATCGACCCTACTCTGGGTTACCTTATTTCACAATTAACAAAGAAAACTGATTCGCCATGGACTCAACTTAGTTTTTCTTCTTTCTGAACTAAGGTCAAATCCCCTCCGTTTTAGTCAAAATATATCAATGTTTTTCAGTGAATAATTTTGAAGCCTGTCACAGAACAAAAAAAAACTATGTGAATTGAAGCCGGAGATTGGACGGTATGACGACCCTTCAATTAGCGTCAAATATGCTTTGTTACAACATCATTGATTTGCTGAAAGTCACCTGATCGGAGCACGACCTGGGTCACAGAACCATGTTTGTCCGCATTATCAACAGGATTTTGTGAGAGAACCACACCCACATTTTCAACCATTTTCAGCGTGGAAGTTGCCAATAAATGTCAAAAATCTTGTGCATTTCATGTATTCAGATAAAATAAATCTAGCGATTGCTAAAAATGATTATTAATATATTCCCCGATGCTCTTGGAATTTTTATTTTTTTGATTTCAAGGTAAGAAATGGCTAGTTGAAGTTGTATCGACTTCAAGGCGGCTGTTTCACCGCGAACAACCAAGCTCTGTTGTAGTTTCGCGATGTAAAATGAAATATATATAAAAATAATACTTCTATTATTTGGGTTTTCAGCCCACAAATTACGGGACATGATCCCCATGAATTACGGTCAATGTTTTGTCTCGGCTGATTGTGATGAATGCTAGACGTCGGGACCGATGCCCGTCCTAAACTCAGTATGGAGAAACCAACGGGGATCGATTTCCCGAACAAATTATTGGGGCAAGGTCGACAGACATTCCAAACAATGGAAATTATCAACGAAAGAGGAGATTTATCTAGATATACTGTCATGACAAACATGTACACAAAGAGGTGCAATATTAGGTTTAATTTTAGGCTTAGATTAAATATTTTCTTTCACTCAGCCCATGCATGGAACTGCCATTTAGCTTCATTGTCCTTCAGCTTGTCTTCACCTTGAGGAAAACAACAATAATTATACAAACCGTAAACGCATTGCGAAGACTCAACAATCGGGAAAGAAAACCCAGACAACCATGTCGTACTTGTGTTGAAATACATTTTGCATTTCACGTCAGAATATTGTAGAAAATAAAATATTCAATCCAAGCCAAATCGAAGTCAAAGGGTCAGATTGCGTGCATATAATTATAGATTCGTTAAAACGAAAAGTATTTGAATTTTTGTCAGCTGTTCAACATTTATAAAAACCAGTAAGACAATTATAAGACAATGTGAACCTCGGAAATTTTCTGCAAGCGAGTGGGCGGTAATATTTCGGGGTTTTCGCGATCGAAAATAAAGCGGAAATTGTCCAGTCGAATTCAACAAGCGGTCACAAAAGCGAGCGGAAAAAGGCGAAGTCATTGCTCTTGTTCGCACCATGGTTACTAAAAAAGAAACCGTGTTCGCACGCTTGCTACGACGTACCAGTTTTACAGTGAACAGTAATCAAAACAAACTTGAAGATATCTTGTGCACACGGCTTAAACCATTTTCTTTATTTGGAATAACTCCGCCTCCACACCGTATTAGTAATATGCAAATCACTACGTCACTTTCGCGGGAAGTCATCACGTTGTCGGTTGACACGGTAGGGCCGTTCTGAGATTTCAAAACATATTTCATCCTGTCTTTAACGCGTATAACATTTAGCCCCGACATTAGAAGGCATTATTTAGTAGCTGGTCGCTAGGCAGACATGTTTCAATAATTATAACTTCATATTTTTCAAATTTTTAGGCCTAGTTTAAGATTCATTGACCTTGGACGTGTTTTGCGTTTATCTTGAAATTGATTTCTGCGTAGTTCTACAGATTCAGTAAGCAATTTCTAACAAACGAAGGTCAGATCGTCGCCATTTTTGGTCAACTTTACCGCTATATAAAGTACTGGAGGAATGTTCCTGGATTTTTTTCTGTCTGCCTTCGTTTTGATTTTTTGCTTATTTTTATATAGAGACATGTTGGTTTTACTCAGGTGTTAATGTCCAAACATTTGAAATAAGGCTACATAAAAACAAATTATAGTTGCAAAAAAATGAAAAACATATTGTACATGAAGCACCCCTCTATAATATTTACATTAAAAAAATATATTCAGTCGTGCTGCAAATTAATTATTAATTGCGTCATTAACCGTTTTACTCTATTTTCGCGTATTCTTGTGATCACGTGACTTGGTATTTGCATAATTTGAAAAAATTGCCATATTTCCAAAGTTTGAAACAAGATCTTTATTATGGTATATAACATGTATTGGTAAAATGTATGTTTCAGTCTGTAAATTGAGACCAAAAAATTGAACCAGCGAACGTATGCTGCTAACCCCTTAATACTCAGAATGTTATTATTTACACTATTTTCAGGTCACGGAAAGACAATAGTCGATTGATGCAGGATTTCAACCGAATACAGACACAGTGTAAAGACGCAGAGGCAGAGCGAGTTAAATTGGAAGATAAAGAAAACACATGGAAAAAAGAACTCAAAGAGTTGAGGAGGGATAAAGACAAATCTCGCAAGGAGGTGAGTTGTGCAGCTTTGTATTTTTGTCATGGTGGTTGATTTCATGTCATGTAAATGATCCATGCAAGAAAGAAGTGTTGTATTTATTCATGTCTTATAATTTTATGTATTTACCTAATTATTGTATTCATTCACAGATACATTTCTTTCTTATTCTTCTTTATCGTAGCTCATTGAAATAAACAAAGAGAATTCAAGACTTAAGCAAAAATGTACAGATATCGAAAATAAAAGTAAAATTTTAAATAACCAAGTAACCCAGCTCACGGAAGATGCAGGGGCACGAGCCACCAAGGTAAATATTATAGATATTACTATTAATATAGATATTAGATATTACTGTAATAATGTCCTTAAAACTAGCTATTATTCGAACATTACTAGATTTCTTAACATCTAATTTAGTTTGATATTTCTATTTTGAAATCTTTGTATTCTCCTCTGTACAGTTCAATACTAAGAGTCGGGTGTGGTGAAAAACCCAAATCTTTAACAAATCATTCTTCCCTTCATTACCTGTCAATGACATTTCTATATGTTGTTTATTCACATGAATTATTTTTTTGCTGGTATCTGCTCATTCTCACTAATAGTACATATGAAAACACAATTAATTTGACTGAGACTCTGGGACAATCTGTCAAAGTTACAAATTAAATTATTATCTTTCCTTTCTTTGTAGGTCACATCCATATTGATACTTTCAGCGATTGTACTCTTATTTGCAATCTTATCAAGGTTATTTTCTGGTGTGTTTGGAAGTTCAGCATCGTCCACAGAAGGATCAATAAGCTCGTGATGTTATATTGTACGCTGATTATGAACTGTGCCAATATATATTCCATTGTTAATCAATTGAAAATCACTTAGCAGTGGGAATGTATTAGAGACGCAATTTTTTAAACAATATCATTCTGGTTTTTTAACTTATTCAATCCTGGAGGATGCCAGACAGTATTATGTAATGAAAACCAGTGATGGTTAAAATATCCCCTAATTTTCAAATGAATATGATGAAGTATAAATGTGTATTTGACATATATGAACTACAGGATCATTTCTCTGTACAATTTCTAGCTGGATTTATGAATTATGTAATTTTGACAAATAACTAAAACAATACAAATTATGAATATTTTACCATCGTATTTTTATACGCCTTGGATACAAAGTTTTTTCATCATGCGTGATTTTATGTTTTCATTAGAACTATTTACAACTGTTTTTAGTAATTTTTTTTTTTTGGGTGTTAGGGGTAAACTCATTATGAAAACTACTAGTTGTCTTACCTTCCATATGTGGTATAGAATCTATACCTGGTTTTATAAGAGTGGATTTGTAAGAGAGAAGAAAAACAGTTTTCCCATTTTTGAATTCAAAATAAATTACACACAGATCTAGATTCAGAACTATGCCTCATTTTCACTGCACTGTTATGTCAATGGTTTTCATTTCTGTCCCTGAGATGATTCTGCTTTAGCCACTCGTAAGGTCTGATCGATACACTGCATTTGACAGCACTTGAGACAACCCGATACCTGTTTTTTGTCAACTGTCCAGAGAAGTCTAAAAAGAGGGTTCACTGAATTTTGGTTGTTCTGTTGATAAAAGCCATTATTCCCTAAATTGATTGAATTGCCAATGAGCATTTAATTTGATTGACCCCAGTTCATAACTTGAGACATAAATTATCTAGCAAGCAAGATTGTTTGCTTGTTAGAAGTTCATGTAGTTGCATGAACATCATATAATAATTGTTAGTATGACACCATGACTG